GATCTACTTCTACTTTATTTTAACAATTTAATTGGACCGTTTATTCTTTTCTGGTTCACAATCACAGATATTTTAGTGACAGTTTCTGAACTTGTCTGAGTTTATTTCATATGAGAGATTACTGCACATTCACTAACGTTACACATCTGTAATGATATACTGTATTCAAACAGCAATAAATTTAGTTAAATAAACATGCTTATATAAAGTGTAGTGCAATTATAAATACCCCTTTATTAACCATAGGCTGTTAAACAGAAACGGTAGAACGTGATGACGTCAGTGATATGCAAATTGACGTATGACATATCCCCCCCCCCCTTCATCAGGGGGCCCCGTCAGCGATCCCTGCAGGGGGGCCTCCGCATTTTGCGATACGCCACTGCGCACATTTACAGCTTTGTGCGTACGCAATGTTTTAGTATGACTTCCACGCAAGTCTTCGTATATGAGGCCCCAGGTGTCGCTATTACATGCCTTCAATTAGGCAGCAGTTCCTGTTATGAAGTAAAACGAACCGAACAAACTGAAAGAAACATAATTTATAATCACGTTTTGGCGAGCCATGGCACAAACAAGAAAAAGGAAAATCAACAGTGAGTGCAGGAAATGTCAGTCACGATGGCGCAAAGAATATTTCTTCACAGAGGTCAGTGGAATATGTGTCTGTTTAATTTGGCAGGAATCAGTTGCAGTAATGAAGGAATATAATATTTAAAGACATTATAAAATAACACATTGAACTCATTTGGCAGTATTCTTAGGGTCATGATCTGTTTGGAAGACCCATTTGTGGCCAAGTTTTAATTTCCTGGCTGATGTCTTGAGATGTTGCTTCAGTATTTCTACATCATGTTCTTTCTGTCATCTATGCTAGGGACCAGTCCCTCCTGCAGCAAACCCCTCCCTCCCCACACTCCCATCCCAGTAGAAAAATCTAATTTCTTACCTTAAACTCTGTCTCAATGTTAGCAAGTCTTGCGAGTTCATTGCTGAGCTCCAGAGCCGTCAGCACAGGATCTTCACTGGACAGCGACAGATAGGCGGCGCTAGCGAGTCCTTTATAAGCGTTCATTCGGGATCTGGAGTGACTAAAAGAGTCCCGTCTCTGTTTCTCCATGCACTCGTTGCATTTACAGAAATAATCGTGCGGCCGCTCAATCCTAGCGCCTTTCATTAGCAGGATATGCACAATCTCGTACTCCTGACAGTGAGCGGCCAGAATCACCGGCGTCACATCGTGGGAAAATCTCGTCCCGTCTTCATCGTAGGCATAAAAGTCATCATCTCTTAATTCTTGCTCTAGTGGACTCAAAGTCAGTCTTAATCCTCCTGCGAACGCCGGATGCGCCAAAATGGCCTCCACGATTCGCACGTAGCCTTTACTGATGGCTAAAAGTAGAGCGTCACCTATGCGCGCCATCCCATCCTTTTTCAGCAAGAGCTCCGTTACTTCCAGATGCTCGTTTCCGACTGCTAGCTGCAATGCATTTTGGCCCATATAGTCCACACAGTTGAAGTTGAGCGTTTTGGACTCATCTAGCATCTTGCGCACCACAGGGATGTTACCGTACTCTGCTGCATCCATAAATCGCTCCTCTTCTGCTGTTAAACTGGTGCCGCGCTCATTAAACATGTACGCCGGGCCGCGGACGGCCTGCCGGCGACCCTTCTCTCGCAGGGTGGTGTGTCTGCGATGCATGACCTCTGACCTGAGAGAACACGAAACAATTAGCAAACATGAAATGACTCTCACAATCCATATTAAATCAGAGAAAAGTCAGATTAAAAGGGACCTATTGTTATAAGATGTAAAATAAGTTTATGATGTCCCTAGAGTGTGTATAATGCTGTATAACTCTGTAAAACGGTCCCTTTCAGGCTTTGATCCTAATTGTGTTGTTTTGGTGACTGTTGCTTTAAATTCAAATGAGATCTTTTTCAGAAGAGGGCGGAGCTACAAATGCTTGTGTGTCAGCATAGTGGCAGATTCAAAAACAAGACTAACGTCTTATGCTAATGAGGGAGAGATGGTCACTAGTGGGCGGGGCTTTCCCCCTCTGATGACACGTACAAAGGACGAATGTCAATTAAAGTGTTTCTGCAGACTGTTCTTATCAAGTCTGATTATAAACAATACAATTAATACCTTTTTACCATTATAAGCTGGAGATATTCACACACTGCTGACACACAACTGTGTTCAAACCCCTTAGAAAAGGATTTTTGCATTAAAGGCCCCTTTAAGCAACGCGACTAAATCCACAAATAAAACAATAAAACAATAAGTAAAATGAAATGAGAAAAACGATACATATTAGATCAGAGAAAATGTATATTTGTAAATACTTTTAAATTATTGTAAATATTTTACTTATTGTAAATACTTTGATATAAATATTTTTATTTATATATATCTCTATATATAATAGTATAAATATATATATATATATATATATATATATATATATATGTATATATATATGTATATATATATATA